AAAATATTAAGGCTGTACAGTGTCTCCTAGCTCTTACAGAACTTGAGAGCTCTATCTAGAAAGACAACTTTAACCAAGGTGCACACAGGAGCATTATCACAGATCCTTCTTTCCAGCTACTGTTAGGGTATCATTTTTACCTCTCTCGGCAATCTCAACACAATCTGACAGCCATGCGTTTAGTTTAACAGTTTCTATTTGATCTTTAAGTGATTTTGTGCATTATTGTTTTTATTTGCACCTCTTTACCTGCTCTACACCCACCCTTTTATTCACAGTTCAGTGTCCTGTCTTGGCAATGTGGCAATAATAATAATTGTCTTGATGCCAATAAGAGCCCAACAGATTTTACTTTCACAAGTGGAGCAGTAGGGCTATTGCCATAGTGTTCTGCTTGTTTCATGCATATAAATTGCTTTATTATAATTATGCAGGGAGTTTTACAGATTATATGGACACTGCAATGTAAATAGAACAGAAGAGGAAAAACTGAAAAAAGGAGAAAAGATGAAAGAAAGAGGAGATAAAAGGAAGATAATGATAAAACATTTTCAGTCTGCTTCATCACCTGCAACGAAATGTAAAAAGGACAGCACAACCAACAGACATGGTGCAAGACATACAATAAAGTAATATACTATCGCTGAAGTAGTATTATTTAATCGGACATGTACTCTGTGTTACCTGAAGATAAGAATATGGGCTTTCTGTCTGGAAGTGCATCTCTAAGTAACTGGAACCAAGCAGTAGTCTGTTTTAACTTTGAGGTTTTTCTATCATGTCTGCTTTTACTGCCTATTTACTTTGCCACTAACACAGCTAAACATCCCCACTGTGGGACAGTAAAGGGTACGTCTATTCTGGTCAAACCCATGTGCATAGGTGTGTACACTTTGCTATGCCAAATTGTTTGATGTCAGATGTTAACTCGCTGATTGTACCTGAATAGCACATCCTAATTGAACATTTGCCACCTCGTTCTTTCAAAAGTTCTCCAAATCTAATCGATTGTAAGGACATTTCATCCCACACTCCTCTTCAGATGAGTACAAAGATTAGGTCAAATTAAGACCTTGTTAACATCATGTTCTTTTGAGACCACTGAAAGGATTCAGCTGTATTTCTGCAGCCTGTACTCTCTACTCTCTCTTTCCACTCAAAATGTCCTGAAAATAGCACAATTTGAAGTAAGAGTTTTATAGTGGAGGGTTTTGAAAACATCATGTTGTGCTGTACACAGGAAAAACAGAATCCCCTTGGATGAGGAATCCCTGGTTCATGTGCTGTATCACTTGGTGTTGGTGGCTTTTCAAGTAGCAAATGTACAAATGTGCATGTTGTAGAGTTTTTAAACGTTTTTCTCCTACTACTGGAATGGCAGGGAACATTTGCAACATTTTGATGTGAGTTGTAGATTCTTCTACATCATTTTTCTCTCATGGAGTTACCCTTTGTTGATATGGATGTTTTAACTCATTATGATTCTGAAAGTTAAGATTAAGACCTCACTTTGTCCTGTAATTATTAACATAGAACTGAAAATATTACATCCAAATTAACTGGTGTTTTTTAACTATTCATAATGTCATCCACAATAACAAGTGCCTCAGTTTGATCTTAAGAGCATACTGCCACACATACCTTTTAACCTGGGCATGGTGTTCTCTAGGTTATTTACAGTTTTGTTGTTTTTTCCAAGCATAGCTAATAACTATTGTAACTGTTCCCAGGCATTTAAGCACCAAAGAGTCAAATGCAGGAGAGCTTATCATCCAGTAGATCTGTAGTTTTCAAGATTGGAATTTAGACCCTGCTGAGGGTTACAGATATACTAACATATACATATATACTTACTAAACTCACCCTTTAGGATTTATATAATATATAAAAAAAACTATACATTTTGTGCTGGTGATGTTTCTACAGCAAAACACCCTTTCATTCAATTAACTGGTATTTAAACTAATAGCAGTAATCACAGCTCTCTTTCATTGGTATTATGTTGGTAGGAAGCTGACAGGTTTTGGAACCACTGCCATAGATGATAAAACGAAGGAGCACATGCAATCTGAACAGCTTGTTTAAATATTTCTCAGTACCCTTTTGTCTTTTACATCTCCACTCTTTGAGTTTGATTAAGCACATGCATAACACAGTAGGCTGTTAAGACAACTTACAAAGACTCGGTAGAACATGACTGAAGGGGCAGGTTAACGTTTGAAAGGTATTTGTATTACCTGGAGAGCAGCGACTGATCAGGACAAATTAAAAAGATGAAAAGGAAGTCTGTTGCCTCTTGGAGGGAAAGATGGCTAAACAAATGGAAACATTTTCAAACTTTTGCACAGTGCTCTTGTATTACAATTAAAACAGAAGAGGCATATTGGTTATTCAAATAATTAAAAATGTACCATTTTAATCAAGTTGTCTAGTCTTAATCTCCTCTATATGAACACGTCTTTGCCCTCATCATTCAATTATTAGTAAACTACTTAGAGTACATTTAGCAGTAAGAGCTGCAAACTAACCTTGCAAAAGATCAAAAAGTTATTTTCTAATCTTGCAATTAAATGAAAACTCATTTTTGTATTTATATTTGGCACTGTTTCTAACTGTCCCTCTGAAGTTTTCCATTTCTGACAGCTCGTTAGACTAATTTTCTGCCATTTCACATTCTGTCTGCCTTGTCCCTGCCAATACAAAACAGTAACACATGGATTTACAACCACAGATCTTCTTTGAACATCCATATGTGCTTAACATAAACATGCAGGCTGAATTATTCCGATTTACAGTCCTGATCTCCTTCCAGATACATATGCAGTCATATAGCCTTCAAAGGCTCAAGTGACAGGAGTTTGGCTGGAGCTTGTGTTGAGTTGGAAGATGAGTCAGATGTCTAATTTACTGGCAAAAAAAAAACAGAAGATCCCTCACATTAAGATTACACTTTGTAAGCAGACTAACAGGATGATAACTGGGCTAACCTTACATTTCTAACCAAAGTGTTCTTATAAAGCAGATTTGATTAAGTAGGTTGAGGAAGATCTAAGAAAGTCTTCATACTGGAATATGTTTTCTTAGCTGTTATGCAGTTCATTATGACACAAGCTCATTTATGTAACAAATTTCTGATGGACGCTCACTTAAAAGTAAATGTTCTATACACCAACTTTAGGAAGGTTGTCCCTGGAGTTTTGGCCATGAAAGTGAAAATTGTGCAATTTAAACTTTGATCTTTTTTAAATCTTACTGTAAGGTTTTTTCACCTCTTAACAATAAATAAATACAATATGTTAAAGAAAAAGTGAACTAAATTGA